GTCAGGTCATAATGGTTAAAATAATTTATCTAGCTTCCTTGTTCACAGTGACAGAGATCTTCCGACATCATCCGGTTAGGTTTTGGTCTAATTGCTTCCTGAAATCCCTGAGCATTTTCCCTTCATCTGAGGGCAACAGATCAGGTCACATGGCTGAAATCTGGACAGAAGTGGTTATTCCAATCCTTTTTTTATTGTTTGGGAGATGACTAATCAGGATGAAGGCCTACTAGAACAGAAGGAAGGAATGTGCATAATTTTGGCATGTGCAGGAAGCCATCTAATTTAAATCAACTCTACCCTCTAAAATTAAAAGAAAAGTTGTGGTTTCTTTGCAACAAGCGGGGGAACATTTCTGCAAATGTCAATGTATATGTTTAAGCCTGAGTGAAGAGCCTTCACATGGTCTGTACTACAAAAATGTTTTATATCTAATAAACTTGTTTATTGCATTTGGAAGAGTGCATGTAAACCTCTGCCTGTAACTGTATCTATATCTGGATCAATGTTTCTCTATTTTGGACCCTTAGATGTTTGACAGAGGAACAAAAGAGGAGTTTTGAGCTGAAATGACTATATTTAGAGACACTTTAACATAAAGCATAGAAGTCAGGAATAGCTATTCCGCAGTTTCAGTTTAACAGGGTGGAGAAACTAACAACTGTACAACAATAATTTTGTTTTGCTTGAGAGCCATTTATGCAGTCAAATACAACACAAAAAATGTAAGACACCACATTTCCCCATTTCTGCCTAGAAGCTAATAATCAAAATAGATTTTACACAGTAAAAAAACAAAAAAACAATCTGGGCTTCCTGAGAATAAGTGTAAATACATTTGCTTGTTTGTCTGTGCACGCTGGCTGGGACAAGAAGGGGAAAAATGAGGAGACTACTTCATATCATTATTATCGGCGGAAAGTAATGAACATCCCAAAACACGCTTCCAACTAGCAGCAGGGAGAAATGCAAAAACAAGAGGCAGCCTGAGCTTTCAGAGAGAGCTTATATGGATTTACTTCACAGCCTCTCTCATCGACTCCCTGCTTTGTGAGGTTTGTTTTTATGCAAGAAATGACATACTCATTCCATTTTATTTGTTTTTGTTGTCACCTTCAACCTGACTTCTCTAATGTTTGGAAGACTTTAAACTTAAATTGAGAAGAAAAAACATCAGCCTCTGTGAATAATGACAAGAAAGAGGCATCAGTTAAAAAATCTGCTGCAGTCACACAGAGAATAAGTTAATTAGACTCAAACGCTTCAGGGACTTTGACGTGTGTAACACAATGGCTCTTTCCCACCCCCCTCAAAGCTCACGATGAGTTTTAATTATGAAAACTGTGCTGTTGATTGCCGTGAACCTGTGCAGAATTCAGCTCGACTGGAAAGCAAAGCAGACAGATCCCCCCCATTGAAGGAGGCAGCAGAAACTAAAGACGGATCAGCTGATTTTAGCCTTCACAGATCTGCTCTGGTATCAGAGTCAGCTGCTGCGAAATAATTCATCACAGTGCATCACGGGTCCAGAAACAAGTCTCAGTTAAAAACTGCATCAAACTGCTTTCAT